AATCAATATTGAAATTTTGTTGCTAGTTGACAAGTCGATATTTTGTTCTTTTTTAGAACAGAAGACAAGTGGTTGAAAGTGGTTTTAGATGATATATGACACAAATAACGGAAAATCAGAGAGAGAAAAAACGAGTTATATTTTGAAGATAATTACATATTTTGACATATTTATCATAAAACTTACCTTCTACTGAAGTCCTGGTAATTAACGCAAGGAGCAGGACAATTACCGCGATATATATAAACGTTGATCGCATCCTTGCCACTCAAACCCATCGAGCGGAATGTTTCCGGATTCCAGCTTTCCCGTAAAGTGTCAGATATTTGCTAACTTTGATATCTGACAATATAGTGTCAACATGTCGCGTGTCAAAAATTTAATCAATTTAGAAAGCGATTGTTAAAATAAAGAAAAGAATTTAAAAAAACACAGTGATGCTCTTCTAAATGTTTGCAATATCAAATATTTGAAGTAAATATGATGTTATTTTTCAATACTGTAATGGAAAAACACGCACACGCACCTGTTACGTGTTATATACATGTACGAAGGCTTAGAACTGATGTCATTCGGTACGTGGAGCTGTTCAGAATATACATTATATACTGTATGTACTTAACGACCTTTAGAAATTATCAGATATTATGAGCGGGGGTAACAGACTATCAGAATATTGACATTTCTTTCGATCGTTTTGAATTTTCCTCCGACGCCTCACACGTTTCAAATTTAAAGCCCCTTTTTATCACTGACAAGTTCTAGAAGGACGAAACAGCTGTATGGTGCAGTTTAATTCATTATCGTCTTATTCCAAATCTATATCAAAACCTGCTATTCACTCGTCTCTCTTTTGTGTCATCTAATAAGTGTTTCCTATTTATGTATTCGAGTTTAAAATGAAATAATCTAGACACCAGAGTCATTCTGTAGCAAAGTTCATTATCTGTCGCATTATATCGAAGCTTTATAGTAGATAAACACAGCAATGTTCATTGTCTGTCGCAATATATCGAAGTTTTTACTGTAGATAAACACAGAAATATTCATTGTCTGTCGCATTATATCGAGGTTTTTATTGTAGATAAACACAGCAATGTTCATTGTCTGTCGCAATATATCGAGGTTTTTTATTGTAGTTAAACACAGCAATGTTCAATGTCTGTCGCATTATATCGAGGTTTTTATTGTAGATAAACACAGCAATGTTCATTATCTATCGCATTATGTCGAGGTTTTTATTGTAGATAAACACAGCAATGTTTATTATCTATCGCATTATGTCGAGGTTTTTATTGTAGATAAACACAGCAATATTCATTATCTGTCGCATTATGTCGAGGTTTTTATTGTAGATAAGCACAGCAATGTTCATTATCTGTCGCAATATATCGAGGTTTTTATTGTAGATAAACACAGCAATGTTCATTATCTGTCGCAATATATCGAGGTTTTTATTGTAGATAAACACAGCAATGTTTATTATCTGTCGCAATATATCGAGGTTTTTACTGTAGATAAACACAGAAATATTCATTATCTGTCGCAATATATCGAGGATTTTATTGTAGATAAACACAGCAAAGTTCATTATCTGTCGCAATATATCGAGGTTTTTACTGTAGATAAACACAGAAATATTCATTATCTGTCGCATTATATCGAGGTTTTTATTGTAGATAAACACAGCAATGTTCATTATCTGTCGCAATATAACGAGGTTTTTATTGTAGATAAACACAGAAATATTCATTATCTGTCGCAATATATCGAGGTTTTTACTGTAGATAAACACAGCAATATTCATTATCTGTCGCAATAAAAAAAATATATATCGAGGTTTTTATTGTAGTTAAACACAGAAATATTCATTGTCTGTCGCATTATATCGAGGTTTTTATTGTAGATAAATATAGCAAATAAACCATATTATGTCGAGTTTTCCCTGGAGATAGAAAGGATGCCATATATCGGGTTTTTTTTATCGTAATTAACATACGGGTATAGTATAGTGGATTAATTGTTTATACATAATGTAGGGATTGACGGTTACGGGTGGTATGATTTACAGGTTTAAACAAAATATCTGGGTATCACGTGACCTTACGTAACGTAAACAAGGTAAATTGTGTTAAGCGTTGATTCAGCATGATACTGAAGCATTCCACAAGGTATCCGGAATCTCATTTCGTGCATATAGAACGTCAGGATAATTCGGACTAGCATACTTCATGCAAACACAATTAAGCACAATTCTATATACAATCAATCCTTCTTGCAATGCTGTTCGATTAATAACTATAAAATCTCGATATATTGCACTTTTTCTATTTGCCATGAAACCTCGATATAATGGCCTTCGTTTGAAATAAGTTTATGAAGTCTTGATTTAGTGCGATATATAATTACTACGGGATAGTTCTAATGTCAAGCAGTTCACTTCGTTTAATCCGGAAAATTAATAGTCGTAAGTAGCTCTTAGGAACACAATGAGTGTCACCAGTTCTAAGCCGTAGTATGCAACAGATGCTTGTGCGTGTTTTTTCTATTTCAATAAGAAAATAATTCCGTCATATTAACAGCAAAACATCAGTGTTTTTCGATGTTAACAACAGATTTCTGAAATCATAAGGAGACTTGCACGCGACATATCGACACTGTATTGTTAAATTGAATTATAGAACATCTGAGATTTTCCGGGAAACTTAAATCACACATTCTTCTCTATAGACTTGAGTATTAGAGATGAGGTCAACATGTATATACCTCACGGGAATCGTCCTGCTTCTTGTCTTAATCACAGGGACCACAGTACAAGGTAAGTTTTGTAATCAATATATCTCAAAATTAAGTAGTTATGTTCAATATATGTACCATCCTCTTCTCGTTTAATTGTCCATTTTTTGTCCTCTGATATAACCACTTTCATCCACTTGTCTTCTACTCGACAATATAAACACAAAAATAACGATTTGTCAACGGAATTCGAATATAACTAAATTCTGATATGTCTACACGAAGTTATGGGATTTTAAGAGATATTTTTTTATTTTGTCAGCACGAATTGTTTCCATCTAAATTCTTTCAAGAAATAAACATTGGTGTCAACGTCCAAGAAAAAAAAACATGGATGTCAGTTCACGCGGTAAATATAAAACTGCTATTGAGGTTATTGTCGAATGTTTTATCATCAACATTGCTGCAGCTTTCAAATATTTTGCCGAGGTCAGAGATGACAAGGTCAGAGGTGTTTTGAACGTGAAAGTACTTAACATAATTTATTGTTGAAAGTTGTTGAGCGTTATCATGCCGGCGTTACTTGAGACAAAATCTTTGTCTGAATTTGGGTTATTTTGGAAAGGTATTGACAAGGTTTTATGCTTAAATCTATATCATGTTTGAAAACTCAGCTATGTCTGATCGATCTATCACAGTTCACTCTCTTTCCAAATTCTTAAAGATGTTTGTATTGTTTTAGGGTTCCCTGGAAACAGCGACGTCATTCAGCAGTATGTCACTCTTAAACCTACGAACATCCCCGCAATACCAATACCGTTTCCCCCTGGTACGTGTCTTAGTTAGTATACTGGTGTCATTCCAGTACATAACTGGTGATAAGGTTATTTTTATTTTTTCAGTAACCTTGGTAATACGTGTTGATTAAACTGTCTCTTAAGAAAAAAAGAAAACACAATCATGGAAACACGATTATAAACCGTAGAATCGATGAAAACCTGGACAAAATTTCAAAAAGGAAATATTTACACCGAGACTCTTGACCAAGTGCAAGGATAAGACCATGTGCTCCAGATGAATAAGCGGCTTCTCCTTCATCAACGACACTTTCAACGTTCGCTTTCATTCACTAATGAGAGAGTCGGTATAAACCATCAGGGATCCAAACAATTGTCGAAAATGTTTTTTGGTCATCACGAAACGAAGGTACACGACAAATTTGCCACAAAACAGCAGCTTTTACTGCTCATGGCGGTTCAACATCTTGACAACATCGAGTGTCATGGTCTGAATGGACTTATCCCAGACTGAGAAGTATGCTGTATTTCTGGAGAGGAATTGGTGTTCCGCAGTTGGAAGTACATCAGAACATTACGAGAGAGACATTAATGAAAAACTCTTTTAAACACTGAGGTGCTGATGTTTTTTAATACTGTATGTTTGCTAGACCATGGTCTGTATAGCTAAGTATGCCTTCCAAAGGAAGCCAAATAAAATATTTCCTTGTTAGTCTTGTTAATCACATCCAAACTTCCAAACCAATTTTCCACACCTACAGGGCTCAAATTTATTAACATAATATTAATAATAATTCAAACTTAAATTTCATAAACCTAGGGAAAAATATGAACAAAGGGGAAAGATTTACACGGAGACTCCTATAAAAAGTACAAGGAGAATAAGACCAGGTGTTCCGGAAGAGCAAGATATTTCACATGGAATAGTATAAAACGGCTAAATAATGTTTTTGTTTCGGTAAGTTAATATATCAATTAACCAGTGGGCTAATCATAAAATATATCATAAAATTGTAAAAATTCGGTTAGTCGAAAAACGATTTGTCTTAAAAAATCTAATGCTGAATCTTTATAGATTAGCTTCAAATAAATACTTACACGGGAGATGCAATCTCAGTGCAGTTTTAAAACTAACAATGTGTGATTAAATCCTTACGTTATATTTATTCCGCCGAACAGCAACTCGATTTAAAACTCCCGTTAAACAATTTTAATAACGTTGCCATTTTAATATCACTTTTAATTCCTGTCCCAGTTCATTCAAGAAATTAATGCACCATTCAACACATTGGATCAATCAACGTCGAGTTTTCAAGTTGAAAAGCCATTTCCGTTTTCACGAACCAAAACCCTGCATGGCTTTATTGGTTAATTGCTTTTATGTGGGAATTCAATGTGGTTAAAAAACATTTAGAAAATATCAACATAATAATAATCCGAAATCCAATCCCATGAAACTAGGGCAAAATGGAGACTTCTGTAAAAGTGCAAGGAGGACTTCAAACTGAACGTGCTGATGGGGCATATCTACAGCAACAGAACATCATTGTGCTTCCGAAGCTGTGTCGCCAGATTTTGTCTCCCTTCGAACATGTTTGGGATGAAATTCAAAGACGTTTGCGTCAGAAGTCGGTACCTGCTGTGACATTGGACGCATTACGTCTTTAGTTGTCAGCCATATGACAGAACATTTCCTAAGTATCTCTACCAAGTTTGGTCAGTTCAATGTGGCGTACATGCTGTACAAAATGCAGACATGTGGCGTGCATCAATGGGAATGGCAGACAAGCACGATATTGATCTAATGAAACTGAATTTGCTCCCCTCACCCTCCCTCCCTTCTTTCTGTGGCTATAAAGTTCAATCCTGTTTAACCGATTGTCTGATTCACTGTGTCATTGTGAAGATAATGCAATGTAAATAAAGATTTAGTACACATTGTTACATATCCCTTTGCTGATGAATGTATGAAACAAACGAAATATCCATTTCCATTCCTGTGAACAATAAATGGTAGTTTAGTTTAAAGAGTGATCTGTTGTTTTTTATTTTGCAGCTGATGGCTTTGGAAACAAAGCTATGACACCAGGACGGTAATTCGGAACTCCTCTGACTATCTACTCGTTAAACTCGGATTCCTGGACGCTGAATATTATTACATTTGTTATTCCGAATAGAACTGTTTAGGAGACATTTAAATCTAATTAGGTTATCGCGTGAAGAAACATGTGGAGATGAAAAAAAATCATTACAAGGAACAACATTAATCCATGATGAAATCTTTGATTGTTATGGCGAGTATTAAGGATTGGTCGAATGATATTGTGTGAGAAACCAAAATGTTGAATAAAGTTAAAAGGAAGATAAACAATTTTGTTTTCATTGGAATTTTCTTTAAGGCATCGGTATTTAATAAAATTACATTAGTTAAAATGGAAATGAAACGTGTATTAATTAGACAAAACCACTTTATGATAAACATTCATTAAAAAATACATAAGTGTTTTTTGTAACCAACAGAAATTATTTTCGAAAATTCAGAAAAAAAAAATGTGTCCCTTGAAGTGTGGAACTATATAATTCGGCGCGGAGGAATTATTTTGAAGTGTGTCATCAGGCACGATTCAGCATGAGTCAACTTCAGGTAAAGAATATTGAATAGACCTAAAAAACAATAGGCTGAATTTTCAATGTTGCAGGATAAATAGAATACATAGACAATGTCTTAAAATCTAAGATGCGGTTTGGCTCAAGACAGAAAGACAAAAGTGGCGAGCCTTTGCGTCTTACTTCACGCATTCCAAAATACAAGTTATATTTAAAGGAAGTGGCCATCTATTTATCATACAACTGCTGCTGTCATTGTCGCAAATGTCGGAATGCATCTACCACATATATTTTTTTCTGTATTCAACTGTGTACTTTTGGCAGTTCGGCAGAATTACTCTCTTTACTTAAATATTACAGTAAAAACATATTTAATAAAACTGCTTAAAATGCCCATTTTGACATAATCAAGAAGTTGGTTTACAAACATTATAAAGTTGCGGCTATACTCGTGTGGGACTAATTTTTCCTTGAAGTGCGATTATTTTTGGCTACATCAATGTCAGTTAGATAAAGTTTGAACAACAAGCTGTTTAAGTTTCAAAAGTCTGAACTTTCAATAAATATTTCAGAATAAACAGAAATATAGTGATTTTTGAAATATTAGCAAAAATAACACCAATAAGACCATGTTTATTTTACAAAATAATCCCACAGGAGTAAAGCGTAAAGGATATTATCACAATAAACACGAACGGGTGGTGTTTACAACCTTATAGACATGTTGAATGTAAACATTAGATATAAGGTATTTCACGAAGTACACTGACGTAATATTTAAAACCGCTCACACATTACGGCATTCCACCTGCCAGTGTTACCTGGACTGATCGAGTTAATCGAGTTGGTATGATCTCGACTGATGCGGTTTACAGCATCGACCTAAGAAGTATTGTTTTTCTGTTTAATTCCATATCGTTTATAGTCTTATTATATGTGTATGTGGGGTGAGTGTTCGTGTTACGTGTGTGTGTTTGTTTAAGCTTCATAGTGATTAAGTTGTAAAGAGGCAGATTTGTTAGTGTTATCACACTGAAGTATACTGTGAAATCACTTAGAAGGACACCCTTGTGGCGTGCAAGTCTGTTACAACAACCCAGTTTGTTATCACCATACCAAATTGGATTGACTCTACCCGGTCACAATACATATACACGTTGAAATCAGGCAAACCAGTCACCCCACATAGGTTAGGGTTAAACGTGTAATTACTTATTGTAATGACTTTGGAATGTCTTGGTCGGGGGACAGACCCCAAAACCTTCTTCACAGGCTAGAGGCGAGCGCTATACAAACGATAGGAGTGTCAAGAGAAACATTAGGAAAAGGTTGTAAGGAAGAAAATGTCTTATGTCTTATGTACCTGCAGGGCAGGATCCGAGGATAGAAATGAAAAAAAATCAGCTGGTTTTATCCTGGCAGTTTAAAACGTCTTCTTACATTTTAAAAATAATGATCCTGTAATGGTTTGGTAAACGAGATTGATACTAAAGAGTTGTTTCCCTTTGTGAGATTAAGAGTTGCTTCCCTTCGAACAGATACCACATTTAATTCCCGTCTAAGTTTTTATATGATAGTCTAAGATAATACTGTGATCGTAGTCCGGAAATCTCAAAATCCGGAAAAAATGTAAGGACACGGATTTCGCAACGTTCTAGATTCATACTCGTCCGTCCTGAAATCGGATTCTGGATCCGGAACTTTTTCATCACAATATTCCCAATATATGTGTCAGTTGGCATTCGAACCTTTCTGTGGTCGGCATACAGCTTACACAGGTGTATAGTGTTGGTAGCCATAGAAACCGCTATACAACGATTTATTACATGTATTTTGTATGTTTTCACATAAGCTGGATTAACTGTGTTAGACAACTTCACTAGGCAGTTGAAACAAAACTTGAATTAATCTACGTATAACCAGCCATTATATAAACAGTAAGTAATTTTCCAATCGGTAGGGAAATAAATTATCATATTTGAAGGGTTTTGTATATGTGTGGTGCATGTTGTAAAACATGTCTGTGGCCACTGCAAAATCAACTGCTCGGAATTGATATCACAAGGCACAATGGCCGTGCACCATCACATATCGATATCAATGCCAAAAGTTGCAATCCCTTTTGACAGCTCTGTGACACGTCGTAAATTTAATTGGCGCCCACTACATATGTATTGTATACATGTCTATCAGCACAGCAGTAGTGGAACTAATTAGAAATAGTTACGAGGCAAGGCTTTAAATCCCACTCGAAACATGTTTCATTATTTTAATAGTAAACAAACCATTTCAAAATTTTGGTTATTTGTTTATTTCAGGAATTGTTTCTAAAACTTTCAGCTGGTTATATTTTGATTTTTTTTTATTCCTAAACGAGATACAGATAAGTAAGGAAGAAATCGATTTAAATTTCAATACAAATAGGCTGTGTTTTGCTGTATGATTACTTAGCCCTGCGTCCGAGGTCCGTCGTCCGTCCACCTGTCCTTAAACAATTCGTATTATCTCTATTTCTTGAGGAGAATAGATATAAGTACTGAGTGGGCCGTTCTCTTGGTTCCTAATAGAGCATTATTCCTGTTCTGACTGATTCGAAAAGACAATTTATGAACTGATGAAAGTTTTAGTCCGTTAGCGCTAAACAGGAAAAAGTACTTAAAAAAAAGTTGTGCATAGTCCATTTTGAGACTACCGACTAGGCGGCTAGCTTGGGTTTTGACAGTCATATTTTCTGTCCGGATTGATTTTTCAAAATTTTATTTACTTTTTTTTTCAATTTTGGAAATGACTAAAACGAGACCATTTTCAATACTGTCAACGAAAAGTTGTTATCATATTTCCTGAGAAACAGTAAATTGATCTGACTCTAATTTCATGAACTGGGTTCCCTTGGTCACTAGCCGTGCCCATTCAATTTGGAGTCTGATAGAAAATCGAAATGGCCGACAGATGGCCATCGTGATTTTGACAATAAATGGTTTTGTTAATGCTTTTTCGTGAGAGGTACAGAACGAATCTCTCTAAAATTCCGTATGTCAGTTACTATTTCTCCATACTTGTGCTAGTTCAATTTTCAGTCTGACCGGAAGAAGTACTGGATGGATCTTTCTCAAATTTTATACATTTTTCGGAGTAGTTTTCCCTTTGTCCCTTGTTTAGCCCATTTGGTTTTTTGGCAATCATAAAAAAAACGTACTGACAAGCGATCAACTTTTATTTTACAGTTGAATATCATAATTACTATTTCTAGATTTCCAGAGAATTAGAGAGAGAGATGTATGATCACACTTTTTTAGAATGCAGAAGATCAAACAATGGTGTATTTTAGCGAAAAGACTTAATATGTTCATGTTGTATAATTTGTTCCAGTCAGCATATATGTTGTATATCCTCGTGAGTAATGGATGTCGTGTTGACTTTAATCAGAAAACCTCTCAGGTATTCCTGGCAAACTCTACACCAAATGGTTACACTCGTCTTCGGAAACTCCCGAGAACATCAGTTGTCGAAAAAGTAACCACCAACCTCACGACGTACACGTATGTGATTACGCATGCTCAATTACTGTTACTAGAATTAGTAAAATTACACACTGCATTTACTCAATAAATACATGAATATTCAAAATCATTCTTTGTAGCGATATTTTCCAAGACGTTCAGCCCAAAATACCACCGCGAAGTTAGATTCCTAACCTTGAAATAAGGAATTTAAAAAAAGGCCGGATGCATTCGTCTGAATAACATCAAATCCTATTTCCGTTTTACTTAATTCATTCATGGTCATTTATATGTGGTATCGCATGTACCATAAAACTGCTGTGTAATTTCTTAAACAATGTTTAGAATCTGCAGCTCCGAGCGATAATTTTCTTTAAAAACAAACCAGTTTAAGGTCAGTTGCATGCCAAACCGTAATTCAATTAGGAATCTTCATTCATCTTCATCTTCAGTAATTTTACCCTGCAACTGACACTGCCATTGTAGGAATACAACCGCTACAAATATTTGGCTTTATTCGGCAGTGACGGAAAACAGGTGTATTTTAGCATGTGCTGTAATTCGGAATTACTCTCTGAGTTTACTTAAGTATTACGTTTAGATATATTAATACTTGTTTAAATAAACAATTTTACAAGCTGAGTATGTTGATTTATGAAAATTCATAAATTCTCTGTTATATCCGATGGAGTTTAGAACTTTATTTTCTCGCGGAGCAATCATTTTGGCGTTCGCCATCAGGCAAAACACAGATTTAGCTACAACACTTTAAGTTTTAAAAGTCTGGTTTTCAGTCAATGTTGCAGGATAAATAGAATACATGGTCAGTGTCTTAAGATATAAGCTGTAGTTTGGCTCGGGACAGAAAGACAAAAGCGGCGAGCCACTTTGTCTTTCTTCACCCCCGCCAAAATACAGCTTTTATCTTAAGACACTGGCCATGTATTCTCTATGTATTCCTGACCGAATTCTGTGAGCGACATTAG